AGAAGTTATAGCATTATAAAGTTAAAAATATAAAAAAGAATTCCCCTATGCTGGGTTTTTTTTTTTTATTAAGTTTAATGTCTGTTTTCACCATGAAGATAAAATAAAGTCCAAATTTTTTTTTTACCATTATAAAGTATATTACATTAGCTTTAATTTAAGATATATATAAAAGTGTCAGACCTTCCGGAACACTTTCAAAAGTTAAGTTGAAAAAGTTCTACTTTCTATATGCATTTTTATGTTTTGAATACCCCCTGTATTAAGGGAAATGGTCCGATTTAAAAAAAAAATATGTCGAATGAAAGATCTATATAAAGACTACTTTTCATAAAAAAATTGTAATGATCCATACATTTTTCAAAAAGTTATAGCATAATAAAATTAAAAATGTAAAATACAAAATCAAAAATGTTCACACAAAAATAGCATTCGGTAGCCATTTTCACCCTGAAGATAAAATAAAGTCCAAATTTTTTTTTTTTTACAATAAAGTATATTACATTAGCTTTAATTTAATATATATATAAAAGTGTCAGACCTTCCGGAACACTTTCAAAAGTTAAGTTGAAAAAGTTCTACTTTCTATATGCATTTTTATGTTTTGAATCCCCCCTGTATTTAGGGAAATGGTCCGATTTAAAAAAACAGTATGTCGAATGAAAGATCTATATAAATACTACTTCTCATAAAAAAATTGTAATGATTCATACATTTTTCAAAAAGTTATAGCATAATAAAGTTAAAAATGGAAAATACAAAATCGAAAATTTTCACACAAAAATAGCATTCGGTAGCCATTTTCACCATGAAGATAAGATAAAGTCCGAAATTTTTTTTTTTCATGATAAAGCATATTACATTAGCTTTAATTTAAGATATATATAAAAGTGTCAGACCTTCCGGAACATTTTCAAAATTTAAGTTAAAAAAATTAATTTTTTGTGAAAAAGTTGTCATTTTAAATCCCCTCCTGTGGGCAGGTAAAAAGTCAGATTTATAAAAAAAATATACCAAATGATAGATAATGACATCATGCATCTATAAAAAAAAGAATTATATTGATCCATACATCTTTCGAGAAGTTATAGCATTATAAAGTTAAAAATATAAAAAAGAATTTTTTTACAAAAATCGTATTTTTTTTATTAAGTTTAATGTCTGTTTTCACCATGAAGATAAAATAAAGTCCGAAATTTTTTTTTACCATTATAAAGTATATTACATTAGCTTTAATTTAAGATATATATAAAAGTGTCAGACCTTCCGGAACACTTTCAAAAGTTACGTTGAAAAAGTTCTACTTTCTATATGCATTTTTATGTTTTGAATACCCCCTGTATTAAGGGAAATGGTCCGATTTAAAAAAAAAATATGTCGAATGAAAGATCTATATAAAGACTACTTTTCATAAAAAAATTGTAATGATCCATACATTTTTCAAAAAGTTATAGCATAATAAAATTAAAAATGTAAAATACAAAATCAAAAATGTTCACACAAAAATAGCATTCGGTAGCCATTTTCACCCTGAAGATAAAATAAAGTCCAAATTTTTTTTTTTTTACAATAAAGTATATTACATTAGCTTTAATTTAATATATATATAAAAGTGTCAGACCTTCCGGAACACTTTCAAAAGTTAAGTTGAAAAAATTAATTTTTTGTAAAAGTTGTCATTTTAAATCCCCTCCTGTGGGCAGGTAAAAAGTCAGATTTATAAAAAAAATATACCAAATGATAGATAATGACATCATGCATCTATAAAAAAAAAATATATATTGATATGTGTATTTTTAAAAAAGTTACGTCTGTTTTTAGTAAAAAAAATTGAAAATTTTTCGAAAATTATCGATTTTTAAATTTGTAATTTTTTTGGAGGTTTCCCCCATTTACGGTGAACGAGGGAATTTTTTTCAATTTTTGAGGGTAATGTCTTCGACTAGATACAATTTGTGATCTTTTGACGTATCATTGAAAAAAATCGGTTCGGTGAGAGCTGAGAAAAAGTGGTAAGAGACACAAAAAAAAAAAAATAAAAATAAACACATCTTAGTAAAACCAATACCTTCTCAGCTTCGCATCGAAGCTAAAAAAAATGAATTTTTACGTTTAGTTATACTTATAAAACAATGGCATTACCGTTAAAATATATCACTATTAGTGTTGTAGTGAACAACTACGCCATCTTATTATCTTTAGATTTATAACTAAATATAAATATACCTGAATCTGTTGAGTTTTTTTTATCCAGTTCTTCAGCATTATTAAGCTTGTTATTTTCTGATGAATAATTTTGAATAACAAAAATTATATCTAATAATAATTTCAAGTGTTTTTCTGAAAATTTAACTTCTACTCTAGGACTAAAAACATCCAAATGGGTAAAGTATGGGCAAATACATTGTTCATAGAAGCAACAACATAATCGAATTTCAAATTTATTTTTTATTATCAATGGCTCCAAAAATGTTTCGATCATTTTCAGTTCATTTATTTTGTTTATAGTTACTGTTAATGCATTAATAAGCCCAATTTTTTTTATTGTCCATTCTGTTGGTGGTACCTCTACAAACACCATTTGTATTAATACTTCATAAATATAAGATAACATTCGATTTGCTTAATATTTTCGATAATTTAAAAGCACTAGTTATCAAACAAAAACCTTGATTCAGTAAGGCCATTTCATAGGAAGAGAATGACACGTTAACTTTGGAAATATTTAAGATACGAACATAATACTAATTAACACTTGGAACTGGTTTTTATTTATCAAAAGTATTTTTAGTTTCTTTAATACATGAAAATTAAAATATATATATATACAGAGTGGAACAGATCACACTGACAACTCATTTAACTTATGATCTACATAACATTTTACACTTTTTTTTTTTAAATCAATTTTTACAATATAGCACTTTATTTGAAGTATGTTTTATGTTATTTTTCGCAATTACAAAAATATTTTAAAAATTAATTTTTTTTAAGATTTGAAGATAGCCATTTTATAGATAAGTTTTAAAGAAAAATTTTGTTACCAAAAACTCTTATTTTAATTCAGTAGTTATATTTATACAGCATTTTGAAGTTTGTTAAATTTTGATTTTTTTTTACAATTTTCTTAAGGTATCAAATGTTTGTTCATATTATGTAAAGGACGGAAGTAAACACTGTCTTATTACGTTATTTACTGGTAAGTGTCATTTTACACTAGACGGTTTCGTCCGTACGAATTTTTTCCGTATGGACGTTGTTTTCACACACAACAGTTTTTTCCCGTGTATCGCTTATGATTTATTATTATTTAACTCAGTCGGCTACAAACATGTCTCGAGAACGCATTATTGCCCAGTGGCTTTTATATCGTCGTTTGCGATTGCGTAGAAAACAATGTGTTCGTAAGCACTGGGTTCACCCAATTAATGAATAATAATCCAATATTTATACGTTGATTTTTAAGCGACTTGATTTATAGTTGTCTTGACAAAGGACGGTAGACGATTAAAGACCATGTAGTGTGAAAACACTCGTTTAGTCACGAAGTCTATTGATAAGACGGAGACAGCACGGCGCCGTCACATTCAGTCGATGACACGGTTGTATCACGGCGACCGTACGGAAGAAATTCGTCCATCGTCTAGTCACTAGACTCTAGTGTGTAAGCCGCAATTACTTTCATATGTCCACTACTATTTAAGATTCGTACGATTAAAATTCGTACGGACAAAACCGTCTAGTGTGAAATGACCCTAACAGTACGCGATTTCTTTTCCATGAAAATTATTAAACATTTAAATAAGCATTTGTAGTTGACTTGAAAAAACAAGTAGTAGTATAATTAAGATTATTAAAAAGATATATAGATGCATAGTCTAAAACATGTTGAGTTTTTAATTAAATAAATTCATATATCATAAATTTATACACGAATTATAGAGAATAAGTGCATTTATTATCAAAACTCCTAACAAGTAATATCCTATTATAATATGATTACAATCATAGAATCACAAAAATTAAAAATTCTTATCACTTTTAACTTGGCTAACCATGGAACACTCGTAGTTGACATACGATAATGTTTCTAACTTTTGTAATAAATAATTTCTGTAAAAATCGCGTTAAACGTCAGTATTATCCATGGAAAAGAAATCTCGTACTGTTACAATAAATAACTGTTTACTGAACTATATTTCTTTGACTATTAAAAGCTATTTTTTCCTATTAGTACCAGTTTTTTAGGTAATTTATTGGCCTTGTGGATAGCTTGATGTTAGAGCCGATTGTGGCGAAGATAGCTGGTTGGAAAGGACATTGAACGAGCGTGCAAAACTTAGTGACAAAGCTAATAAAAGTCACGCGACTTGAATCATTTAAATTTAAATAACACCTAAAAAATTTAAAGTAAATTTTGTTTGGGTCAATTTTTTTTATTTAAATGTATTTATTCATTAAATAATAATACATAATTTTTCCTATTATGGAAATAACTATCAATTAATGCATAGAAATACAAATTCAAAAGAATAAATTATATTTTGATGATCAAACCTATCTGAACTTTAAATATTAATTAGATGGTAAAATTTATTACGAGTTTCCTAAAGGGTAGTTTCTATATGTTAACTATATGCTTATGTCCTTGTTTTAATGAACACAAAAGTAAACATTGCAACTAGATAATCTATTATCTAGTAGTTAATATTATAATATTAATCATTAATAATAAATATAATTATTATTATAATATAATATATTAATAAAATCGGTAACCCCATCACCGTGACCTTCCCTTGTGAGTGTACAATGCTAAATATAGAACGTATAAAAAAAAAAGGCAAACAACTTAATTTTACTGCACTTAAATAATTATAGTGAGTAATGTAATATAGAGAGAGCTGGTTCCCCCTGCCTCACCCACTCACCATCCTAATAGAGGTAGTGGAGGAAGTGTACGGGGGAGTATTAAATTCAACGTAAACTAACCTAATACTATGAGAGGTGGAACGACGAAATTTTACGTAAACTAACCTATTGGTGGGGGGAGGGAGAGGATGAAACCCAACATAAACCTTTTCTAAGAATTTTATCTTCGACTACCAGATGCTTAGGTAAGCATATTTCCAACATCAAATGTACAGCTATAATTTCTAAGGATTTTATCATCGACTACCAAACGCTTAGGTAAGCATATTTTTCAACATTGAAGATGTCGCCGTACAATAATGATCAATGTATGGATTTTATGAGAACATTTACTTTATTTTACTTTAATCATTAAATTTAATCATTAATAAAAAATAATTAATTTCATTTATGATTAAAGCTAATTCCGCGACATTTGTTTCATCACGTCAGGCGGCTAAGCGTAGTAGGGCTAACAACAGCGCGGTTAGGTAGAAAAGGTTACGTATGCAATTGATGGATATCCGTGTTTTCACCGAGATCGATTCCGCATTGGAGCGGGGGCTGTTTGGTTTTATCGGAAGAACGTGGAAAATTTCGCGAGCTATCGAGATTTTCTGCGCCCCGTTAAACCCAAGCTGGTCGCGCAGACTCACTGAAATAGTAGGTAACCGTCCGATCAAGCGTAATCTCGAATTGGAGGCCTCATACCATATACCGCGATCAGAAGCACCGATCGACGACCGTGCCTTCAAAACACGGGCTAGGGCATTGCTATCCGTTACGAATATCGGGTGTGCGGTCGATGAAGATTTTGAGGTTATGCTCGCCGAGGAAGACAAGTACTCGGGGTGGTGTAGCGGCTTTTCTCTATCGCATATCGACGGCCTTATGCTCAGCGTAAACAAGTATACGCCCCTCACCGACTCATCATATATTCCGATTCCGCCAGAAATTAATCATAGAAAAGCAATCATCAACCCACAGAATATTGATCAGTCTTGTTTCAAGTGGTCCATTTTAGCGAGGCACGTTGGGGTTAATAATAATACACGTGTTAATCAAAAATATTTTAATGAGGAACACAGTTATGATTTCACGAGGTCGATGTTCTCCACACCTGTGTCCCAAATTAAAATATTTGAGCGGCGAAACCTTAACGTGTCTGTCAACGTGTACGGCTTGGAACGAGACGACGTTAACATGAAGTGGTTTGTGTATCCGCTAAGAGTCGCGGAGCAAGAACAACAGAATCATTTTGACCTGTAGTATATTGGCTTAACCGTTTCGACGATAAGCGCTATACGCTCGAAAACAGAGTCGACACGTTGACTCACGTGCATTATGCTATACCACCACCACACGTAGTAATTCTCGTTGGAAAAAAAAATTTTGTTAAAATTAAATATTGAAAACTTAATTTGTAAAAATATGTGTACCATTTATAAATAGTTTTAAGATTTTTTTTTTTTTTTTTTTTAAATAGTTGTAAATAAATGTTAGTAATCATATATAGTTTTAAAATATAACATAATAAAAAAAAATAAATGTGAATATACTTAAATTGTTAATCATTAAATAAAAAAACCTCGTGTTGTATTTGTAATTGTTTATTTATTCAACTAAATGTTTTATTACAATAAATAAAAAAAAAAAAAAAAAATTATAGGTACTTTATATAGTATAGATTGAATCTATCCATTTATTATGTGAATTATCCAAACCAACAAACTTGACAAAACATCTGTCTTTATTCTTCTTAATGATCTTTTCCACTAAATAAACTTCTGGAAATTGAGACTTGCTAAGTTCGTGCTCATAAAAACAACCATTTATAGGTCTGTTGTTTTCATCTGTCAGTTCATACACGACGGGCTTTGAATCACAAATTTTTGCGTTTGTAAAGACTTCCGATGTCCAATTTTGTGTATATCCTTTAGAAAATACTGCTTTATGCTTACTCAGACGAACTTATCTTCAATATTAAACTTTTTATTGTATTTTAAAATAGGTCACCGTTTAAAACTGATATTTCCAGGAATACGTGATGCTATACTAGGAATTGTCCCTATGGCGCTATGTTTTGTATTATTGTAATTTGTTATTAAATTTTCTATAATGTTTATCCTACTATATGATCTATTGGTAGTAAATTTTTTCCACATTTTTTCTTTTAGTGTTCTATTAAATCGCTCCACAACAGCGGCTCTCTTTGTAGAGTAGGTTGAATGATTTATATTTTTGTTCTTCATGAGCATCCGAAAATGTTTGTTGAAAAATTCTAATTCTCGGTCTGTTTGCAAGTTCTTTGGAGATCTATTGAACAAGACTTTCTCAAAAGCCGACTTGACTTCTGTACTAGATTTATTTTTTAAAGGCACAGCCGACGCATATTTTGAATAAACATCGATTATCGTTAAAATAAATGTAAAATTTTTATTTTTTGTAGAGTATTTTTTCACATCTACTAAATCTGCTTGCCACAAATCATCTTTGCCGTACGATACAACTCTTCTTCTAGGAAATATTTTTCAAGCTGGCTTATGCATTAATTTGCTACTTTCTCTGCTACTTTACTCGTGATATTACACCTTGTTCTCGTAACTCTTCTTCTATTGACAGTATTTCGTATATATATATAAACAAGTTATATGTAATGTACAATACGTC